TGGCTGCAGCCCCTTCCAGGTTTTCCCAGCTGCCAGAAGAGAGGAGTGATTGCAGTGTGTTTTCACCCCTCGGTGACTCAGGCAGCCAGATGCCATTGAGGGCGGCTACTGCTAGGTTTAAAAGCTACAAACCCCACCCATGAAAAGGAGGATGGAAGTCAGAAGGGCCAAGGAGCACGGGCCACTTTCCTGATGGGCCCAGCTTCCAGTTTCCAGGGCTGCAGGTGGGAGGTCAGGTTCTGGACTGAACCAGGGGCGCCCAGAGGGGCTGCCGGGGGCGCTGACATCCATGCCCGCACACTCATGTTAGGATGGAAGCAAAGTGGATACTTGTTGAAACGATGTGGCGAGGAAGCACATAAAGAGAACTGCACTCAGGTAGTTTCCAGGGGTAGAAAGGGGACAGGCACCTAGTTCCGCAGTGGCCTGGCGGGACCGCGGGAGGAGCCCGAGGTGCAGCGGAGCCCTTCCGCGGCCTCCAGGGGCTTCTGCGTGACACGCAGGCGGTGGGCTGGGAGAGATCTCAGTGCTCGGGTGCCCCCTCAGCGTCTGCACACTCTTTCCTTCTTGCCAAGTGTCTGCTTATTAACACTGGTAAGATTTTCAGGGTAGACGGGACATGATTGTTTTGTAGCAGAATCTTAAGCCAGTGGACTTTCTTTCCATATTTTGTGTGTTGTGGATACAGCTCTAGGGATGAAGAGAGAAGAGCTGGACCTGAGACTCACGTGACCCAGAAAGTACTAACAGGCGCCGGGAGCGCCGCGCCCGCCGCCGCCGCCCCTCCCCTCCTTGCCAGCTGCGTCCGGGCAGGTAGTGTCTGGAGGTCTGGAGTTCCCTTCTCGGAGGTTCTGAGTCAAATGAGTCAGTGAAGGAGCCAGTGCTTGGCTGAGCTGTCTGCTGTCTTCTTTATAAGCTGCTTCTGCTGTGCGGGGAGAGGGCGGCGTGGAGACAGAAACTCCGGGCTCTGCACCTGGGATGACAAGAGGCAGAAGGGCCTGGACGTGGGCCTCGCCCCACAGCACCGACTGTGTGATCAGGACTCTCCCCTGTGCCCTGGCCCTTCTCTCGCCTCCCCAGGGTTCTTCCTCCACTGGTTTTCTTCACTTGCTTTGCTAGGGCAGTTCCTTCCCTCTGTTGGTTCTTTTTCCTCCCGCACAGGAAGATCGTGGAAAGCAATCTACTTTGTCCTTCCTAAGTCCTACAAGCTAGGCAGGGGCTACTGGGTCCAGAGAGATTAAGTGTAAACATGTGGCTCGCGCGCTCTAGAAGTACCTTCCATGGCGACTAGAGAAAGTCTTAATGACAACACTAGGTTGCCCTCCAGAATCAGTGCAGTGAAGGACCATCGCTGTTAACCATCCTTTGGGCAGATCTTCCTTTTTTGGATACAGATACATTGATTATGAAAGACTGGTCATAATAAAATACAGGTGAGAAAATGGACTGCTTTCTTAAAAACTGGTCAGAGACAGGCACATTAATAACTAAATATTTTTATTTGACATCTGGATTCAGTTTCACATGTATTTGCATAAATAATTAAAAGTGATCTCTAATGATTAAGTATGTGCAACTGCACACTGCTTCCGCTGATCCCCCTCCTCCACGTCCGGTGCGGCCCTCACTCCTGGAGCACAGGGCGAAGGAGCTGCTGGTCCCTTTCCTCACAGCAGCACTGGCTTTGCGGGTACATTAAACCCGCTGGGCAGCTTCTCCTTGTGTCATGGTTTCTATGGCAACATTTGGTTTGGTAAATGGGACAGAAAAGGGTAAGGAGATAGAAGAGGGTCTCATCATAAAGGAAGCGTGGCTACCCTGCGATGCCCCAGTGGTCCAACCCAGTGAGTCAGTGACTGCATGTCATCCGCCTACTGACCGCCCAGCGTCAGCGTCTGGAATCTTGAGTGTGGGAGGGAGCGCCAGGCCCCGCCAGTCCGGCCCCTTCTATTTCTGGCTAAGGAGTGGGGTTCAGGGAATTTAGGAGGGTAGCAGGCAGTCAGACCCAGGCTTCTGAGTGCCCACGTGTCCCCACAGATTGTCAAACTCATTTGCTGGTCACCTGAATAAACGTGGTCTACGAACCAGTGTTTTTTGCAGTCTGAGGTATGTCAGAAATGATTCAGTTTTTATGCTTAAGTTTCTTATGCCCAACATTTTCAGCCTGCGTTGCAGTGGTGACGAAGGCCATTTGGCTCTGTCACCCCCGAAAGCAGGACACACTCCCTGCAGCAGCTGAGTCTGGGGTGAAGGCGTCAGCAGGGCTTCTGAACTGTCATTTGTCTTTCATGCCATTTATCTTTTCACTTATAGCTCACGGAACTACCTGTTTTAAAATTTAATAATCAGCCCAATGATTTTTAATTTAGTTTTGAAAGCTAATACCAAAGACAGTTAAGGCCGGAATGAAACGGTGCAGTTCTAACATCCCAAGCTGGAAGGAATTTTTTTCTTCTTTCAGTGGAAGGACATATATATCATGCAGAGAGATTCAGTATTATTAGACACAAGTACCTTTGGTGTTAAGCATTTAAGGATGAACAGGAGGAGGTTTATGTGCTGGACACGAAGAAGCCTCAACAGAGCTTCCTCAGCTTCAAAAGTAAAAACAATTTTCTAGGATACATGGAATGATTAGTCACATAAGTAATCAGTACTGAATTTTAGAGTGGAATGACCCACATTCGCTTTCCAACTGAATGTAACAGCTTATTTCCTTTCTTACATAATGATGTCCCCCCTCACTGTGAAGTTGAGATGCGTCATTGATAATGTTACCTGGATTATCTAAACACCGACATCTTTAAAACTAGCGGGCTTCCCGTGGACAGGTTTAGACCCCTCCGGTCAGGGTGAGCTGTTCTTGTTGGGCATGAAGTCGTTGGCAAGCGAGGTAAGTCAGAGGCACAGCTGTGGACATCAGTCTGTGGGTCAGGTTTTGATGGCCATGGTCCAGAGGAGGGGATGGTCCGTTTCCACAGTCACAACGCCAGATCCATCGTAGGTATTGGAAGTACTGACCAGTGTTCCAAAACTAAGCATGTGATTTGCTGCAGGAAAATAAGAAAACAGAAATTTAGTGAGAGCCAACCTTCCTCCAGTGTAGAATGACCATCAGTAGTTGCCAAAAAGCTTACTTAGTTTTTTTAGTAACATATTATTT